CGCTGTTTCCAAAGTGCTGATTCTCTGTCTGTTACTTTAGATGAAAATAAGGAGCCCCTCCCCACGCCCCTCTGAGAGAGATTTTGTTAAAAAGAACTCAATGGTGCTCTAGGAGGAGATTCAGGTGATAAGGGGGGGGAGGGGGGGGTTACCTTGGTTGCTGATTGGCTAATGGTTACACAAGCCAAAACATCGTTATGACATCATAAAGTGGCCAAAATCTGATCAGCTCATTTTCAGACAGGTTTTTATTTAAATGGATCAGGACAAAAAGAGAGAGAATCTTTGTTCCTGAAACTTTCAGAGTCTCTTTACACAGAGGGGACACATGTTGATGTAGAAGAGACATGAAGAAGAGGGGACACATGTTGATGTAGAAGAAACATGAAGAAGAGGGGACACATGTTGATGTAGAAGAGACATGAAGAAGAGGGGACACATGTTGATGTAGAAGAGACATGAAGAAGAGGGGGCACATGTTGATGTAGAAGAGACATGAAGAAGAGGGGACACATGTTGATGTAGAAGAAACATGAAGAAGAGGGAACACATGCTGATGTAGAAGAGACATGAAGAAGAGGGGACACATGTTGATGTAGAAGAGACATGAAGAAGTGGATTTTGCATAATATGTGATGTTTAATGTCGACTGTGTGTGTGCAGGACGATCTCTGTGAGCACTCAGGTGCAGGGCGGAGACTTCAACGCGTACGAGGGTCTGCGCTGCCACGGCGTCCCCCTGGTCACCATCAGCCGAGGACGCCTGGTGTGTGAGAACGGTGTGTTCATGTGTGCCGAGGGATCCGGAAAGTTCTACCCTCAGCGCACCTTCCCTGACTACCTCTACAAAAAGATGGTGCAGAGGGAAAAGGTATGTTTACTTTAAATGAATCTGATGACTTTACTTTGCTGCAGACACACCCATCCTACTGTGTCTATCTGCACTGGGTTGACAGTCGATAAGAAGGATTTAACGCTCCTCTGTTCGCTGACACAGGTTTTTCTGCCGTCTGCCAACCCCTATTACAGCCTGCCTCTGCAAGGGTGCTGTTCTGTTTAATTTACACTAATAGATTATACTGCTAACCCATGGGACTTACTGTGCAATGCTTTCAATATTCATTTATATCAAGTGGCTATAAATCCCGGAACTAAAGATGTGGGAGCATAAGGACAGAACAAAACGTTAAATGCCAGGTCGTTTAAACATGTGTTTATATTCATTTGGAACTCATGATGAAAGCTATTAACAGAGCTTCTGTTATTGCTATTACTATTATATTATTTTTTGTGTACTAAATGGCCTCCAGGAACACCTCTCCATATGAAAAGTTTGTGTTCACATTTCTTCATGAAAAGAGCAGTTAAAATGTACCAATTTATTTGATGATGACTAGCAGAAAAAAGGGTATAAAATCACAAACCTGCTGTATTACCTGTTAACATTACCCGCCCCCCCCCCCCTGTTTCAGACTCAGGCGATTAAAGGGGTGGAAAGGGACCCTTACTGTGGTGATGTAGCCAAGTTGGCAAACACCATGAAGAAGGAGCTCGGTCTGGGCCCCATGGATGGAGACCCCAAAGGCGTCCCCCGCGCCCACCAGGGGGTCCGAGACCTCCACGAGTCCTCCTTCAGCCTCTCAGGTAGCTGGAAGAAACATAATAACATTTGAGGGGGCTATATTTTTCAGTAACTGTCAACAGGAAGACCACTTGTGCGATACAACACACATCATAGACTGTGATATTGCACTCAGGAACTTTTTTATTTTTTTTAAAGAAAAGTCCAATGCTCTTTTAGGGAATAGCATAGGTCTCAGATATATACACATATACAAATCATGTCTATGAAGTGTTTTGCTCAAAATACCAAGCAGATCACCCATTCTAGCCATGCCTCATATCCCTCTATTTCACTTCCTGTTTCAAAAGTGCTGATTTGGGTATAAAGCTTTAAAAAATAAAAAAAATTGATAAAAAATAAAAAAAGGAGGGGGCTGAGCTCATGCGGGACCCGGCAGCTACTGTCTAAACTAAATACTGCCGTGATGAAATGCCATATCATGGATTATCAAGGATTATTTCTGAAACAGTATGGAGCTCAAAGGCTTTCTCTCTTGCCGGTTATACCACAAGGTGAGTTCCTTTTTATTTCCTGCTTCTTCACACACATGCTCTCCAGTACAGGTTAGCTCTGAGTGTTAGCGATGCTAATGTAAACACCGACCATATTACGTCCAAAACAGTCGGGCATTGTTTCTGATAGCAACGTTTCTGATAGGGCCGTGGGTCCACATTTCAGATATTACGTCATATCGGACGCAAATCTGGATCAGCTCCGTTGTTCCCCCGTTTTTAGAGATTTGGGTACGGAGGAAAAGAGAGAGGGTTTTATTTTCTGACGCTGCGTGAGTTCCCGACGCACCGGGGACACATATTTATGTATAAAAGACATCAAAAAGTGCATTTTGCATGATAGGTCCCCTTTAAGTCAATGGACCAAATTGAACGCCAAGCATATTGATAATAAATTGATTGATTAAAGTTATTTGGTATCTATTTTTTAACCTCTAGAATATGAACTCTAAAAACAAGATATTTCAAAACTTCCAATCTGAAAGGGACATATTTCACTTTTTTCTGACATTTTATCAACCGATTTCAGAATGATTCAGGATTAATCGAAAGGATGACGATTGGTTCCTGTTCTGTTTATTTTTTGGATATTTCAAACGTAACTATTCATTATTTTATTATGTGGAAAATAATATCCTTTTTTTTTTTTATTCACCCAGCGGTTTTTTGTTTTTCAACAGTATAAAGCAAAACAATAAGAACAATTTACCCTTCTTATTTTTTTTTGCTAACCTATACTTAAGAACCTAAAAACCTTCATGCCTGTAGTTTTTGTTGATTTGTGTGTTGTCATGTTTTCTCTCAGGGTCTCAGGTTGACGACCACGTCCCGAAGAGGTCCTCGGCTCGGATCCTGGCTCCCCCCGGCGGGCGCTCCAGTGGTATCTGGTAATCACTGCAGCCGGAGCTTCACCCGTCCGAGTCTCCTTGTTTTGTATTATTCTGCGCAACCAGGAAAACTGCACTGATTTTCAATCACAGGATCAAAGTTAAGAGAGGCAAACAAATAAAGCACACGTCTGTGATTGGTGAAGAACTAACTGACGGTGCGCCAAAGTGACTTTTACAAATCTAATTTGTGTCTTAATTGGAGTGACTGACCTGATTATTTACACGAGAGTGAAGGGCTATATATTAATTTAAAATGTGTTGCCAAATTCAAGCTGATCATACTAACGTTAAAGGGAGCTCATTATCACCCTGCTCGTATCCCGCGGAGAAACGCAAACTAAACAAACTGTGAGAGATCAAAACCAGTACAGTTTTTGAAGGTTGGAAGTGATGTCGACTGAATTATTTAAAAATATTAACTGGATTCCGTGAAATATCTATCACCCACATACACTGTAGGCACCATAGCTTTCGACTCACATGAAGACGTGTATGGATTCTGTTTGTGATTGAACACCCACTGTGCTCGGCTTCCTGCTGCACCGCGGGTTCCTCTAACACTGTTTTTATTTCCAACGGGTGATCTGTGTTGTGTGGTGATGAAATCCAACTGCTTCAAAAACACTGTGTGATTTTACAGCTACACTATCTAATAATATCAATCCGTTTATTTCCATTACCTCTGAATGAGGCAACACTCACGTATCCCAGAAACATCCTGCCTCACCTGCAACCTAGCAGGACTTTATAGACTGAGTTACAGAAGTATTGTAGTCTTTTCTGTATGTAAAGACTTTGGAAAGACTGGGGAGAAGGAAGGATAAAGAGTAAGTGATTTAAACGGGTAAACAAGAAGGACAGCGTTCTGTTATTTTTCTGCTGATAGTACAGAACATAACATTAGGGCTTGAAATGGTTTAAATAAACGAGAGAGATTCACCAGAGAGATTACTGTCTGAGGGAAAGTAGGAGCTGCTAAAAACACCAGGGGCCTCATCCATCAAAATGTGCAAGTGTAAACGTCTGTGTTATTGCCAGTAGACATAAGGAAGAATATAGTCAATGAAAAGGAACATGAACAGGAATAAAAAAAAGGGAAGAAAATTAAAGATTTAGTTGGAAAGTTTCCTTCAATCTGAGTCTCTAGGTTAGTAATTACCGTTTGCACCGTTTATGAACACACTAATCTGATTGTTCGCACGTAGAGGGCCACGAAAGTAACAACAAGAAGGGATGTTATGTTGTTGAGTTTCAGTAGAGGATTTAGAGAGTAAACTTCCTGTTAATAAAAAGGGATTTCTTGTCCACAGAGCAGGAAGATTGAGCTGCACAGCCTGAAGAAACATCCTCTTCTCATTCCTGCCTACCAGTATTATATTTATACATGATCACCTCTTGTCTGTGAGCTATATATTTAGGATGTTTGTTTGTTTTGTTTTTTAGTTGAAAGAATACATGTGCCAATGTGAATCACTCGTGCGACACCCACACCCATGCATGAAGAGCACCACGCGGAGACGGAGCAGTAAATCTCTCGCAGGCTCACAACAACTGGTGCTGTTTTTTTTTACTATAACCTACTGCTGTATACAACTACACTATTTTACTGTTGGATGGATTTGTTGTTTTGAAGGCACTGTGACTGGTTGGTGGCTGTGTATGTTTGTAGGTTGTTGTCGTGTCGGACAGTGAAACTGTTGAATCTGTAAGTGGCTGCTTGTTTCTTACCACACGAATAAAGAGAAAAAAAATAACATCTTGATTCCTTTGTGTCAACTTTTTTTTTTTAAATGCATCAAAAGATTTCTGATCAATCATTTTTTTTGTAACATATATTAATATATATATTTCATACAAAAGGGGACATAGTGTCTGAGATACACTGCATAGTGACATACATGTATGTATGCATACATGCTATAATATGCATACAAAAAATATATAATAAAAAAATAAGAAAGCTAGAAAGTGATGCAAATTAGTCGCTTTTCGGTGCCTCCCGCTTTTTTAACGCTGCTTTGGGTGACTTGTGTAATTCGTGGAGAACCGAAGAGTTTTCGTTTTGGGGGGGGGG